GGCCGAGGCGCCTGGAGAACTGGGGCGGGGCGGGACGGGGCGGGGCGGGGCGGGTCTGAGGCACATACTGATTTGCTGAGAGATCTCGATGAGCTCCATCTCGGTGGGCATGTAGCCCAGTGTCCGCATGCAGGCGCCCAGCTCCCGGTAGCCAATGTAGCCGTCCCGGTCTCGGTCAAACTCCTGGAAGGCGACCTGCAGCTCTGCCAGGCAGGGCGGGGTCAGTCCCTCCCCCACCTCCCACTGGATCCTGGCTGGACCAGCTTCCCCTTCTTCCCTGGGCCTAATCATTCCCTCCTTAGCAACAGGTTTCTCCTTGCGACCTCAGGGCCTTAGTACATGCTGCTTCTGTCTTGTTTTGGTGGTGGTTGTTGTAAGACCAGTGCGCTCGCCAGAGAGAGACAGAAAGAGTGGGAAAATGAGAAATCACTCCCCACCCCCAGGGGCAATGCCCATGCTGTAATTCCTTTTCCTCCATTCACCTCTCAATATTTTGGCCAGGCACACACATGTGCCCTGTTTTCCAAGCCGCTGAGTCCAGGACTTGAACCGTGAAGTTGGCCAAGTGGAACCTGGTGCCTTAACCACCATGCCACCTGCTGGCCCCATTCAGTTTCTTTTATTTGTTCTCTCAGCAAGTATTTAAGGAGTATCTACTACGTGCTAAGCTCTGTTCTAGGTGCTGAGAATATGGCAGTGCATTTGAAAGAAGAAGAAGGAAGGAAGGAAGTAGTGAGTAAGGAGAAAGTAGAAGAAAAGAGGGAGAAACAAAAGAAAGAGAAACCAAATGGGGTTTGCATCCTGGAGCATTCTCTCCTCCTCTCTGGTCCCATGTCACCTACTCAAGGAAGCCTGCTCCCTAAGTTTTGTTCTCCCCAGCCATGTATTCATGTTCTCGAGAGCACCTGGCATCGTTTGCACGTGTAGGCGACTTATCGACACCTTTCTCCAGAGCACACGAGCCGTCCGCACCTGTCTATTTGCCAGTTTTCCCAGTGCCCAGCACAAGCCAGGCACACCATGGGCACCCAGGAAACGTTAGCTGGGCGAGCAGATATAAAAGTGGCCTTGAGACCCGATGAATGAAACCAAAGACTGACATCTTGGCTCAGCCCCCTCCTTGTTCAGTCTCCTGGTCCATCGCCCTGAACCAGCCCCTGCAGCCTTCCTGCTCCTAGTGTGCCCTGAAAACTGCCAAGGCCTCCCCCAAGGCCTCCCGCCCACGCCCACCCCTCTGGGGATCTAGTTCTTTCTTAAACCCTTTACCTTCAATTTCCTCGGGCCTCAGCTCCCGGTCCTGAGGGGGCACAGAAGGGTTAGGGATTCCCTGGACCCAGGTACCTGCACCCTTCCTTCTAGTTCCCCAGTCCCACCCCCTCCCGCCACCCCTACATGCACACAGGCCGGCATCTGTCTGGCACTGCCCAGTCCTGCTTACTGGTCCTGCTGCCTGCCCAGGTCGCTCCTAGGCCCGTCCTCACTGTCTTGCCAGCCTCTTGTTGGGCACAGAGCTCCTACAAGAAGCCCTCAGGCGATCTGGCGGTGGGGCAGAGCTCCAACCATGGTCCTGCAGCCTCGGTGTCACTGCAGGTCTCTGAACGGGAGAGCCCGTTCTCTCCCCGTTCCTGTCCTGGGGGCTCTGCCACCTCCTGGCGCATCCCCTCGGTGGCTGTTCCAGACATTTCTCCGGGTCTCTGCCCCTCATCTCTCTTTCTTGGTTGATTTCTCTGGGGCTCCTGTGTTTGATCTCTTTCGTTTCTGGGGTCATTGCCTTTGCTCCTCTCTGTCCCCCACCCCTGGGTCTTTGTGCCTTTGCTTCAATGTCCCCACTCAATCCTTTCTCCCCACTCAAGGGAGGGCAAAGCAAAGGGGCGGGGCAGGTGGGCGGCGGGCAGGGGCCGTACATACGAGTTGGGTGGCGGCAATGCTGGGCCGCAGAAAGATGCAGGCTGACCCCACCAGGCTGTTGAGCACCGAGTAGCCCTGGATGCCTGACCCGGGGCCCCCCTGCTCCTCAGGGTTGGAGCTGAAGCTGTGGCGGGGGCCCCCTGGGGGAGAGCCAGGCCACTGGCAGGGGTCCTGTAGCAGAAGCAGCCATGAGCTGGGGCAGCGGCCACTGAGCCGGGGACCTGACTGCCCTCCCCACTCCCACTCATCAGCAACTCCTCTCTTTGGGACCAACATAGGACAGTGGGGAAGGGGCTCAGGAAGCACAGGACCCTCACCCATGAACACCTTAGGCTGGAGGGGGTCCACCCCTAACCGTTCAGTTGGGCAAACCAAGGCTCAGAAAAGGCAAGAGACTTGGCCAAGGCAACTGAGCAAGACGCTGGTAGAGTGAGAGCTCCTGCTTTGTCTCCTGGGTCAGGGTTGGCTAGCAGAGAACAGGGACCTGCGTCACAAATGGAACTGCTGCCTGGGCAGGGAGACCTAGCCGTCCATAGGAGCCAAGACCAGGACAGGTCTGGGTCTAGGGCCTTCCAGGAAAAAGTCTCCTCCTGAAGTAGTGGGCACCCAGCCCCTCCAGCCCTCAGCCAAGCCCACCTTCAATCCCGGCCTGGCCTTCACAGCTGGCCCTTCAGGGTCCAGCCCAGCCTCCTGGCCTTGGCTTCCCCTTTTGCCCTCCTACCTTAGGACCCCGGCGCCGGGGCCGCTTGGCACAGTTTCCCATGGGGCTCTGAACCATGCCAGGCCTGGAGCCCCGAGGGCGGTCCAGGGCTGGATCTTAGCGGATAGGATGCTGCGGGCTCCTGCCAGCTCCCAGCTGCTCCCAGTGAGAGCCTGGGAGTACTGCAGGGGATTTTCCCAGGGTTTTCTGGGGAAGATCGGGGGCGGGTGGGCAGGCGGGGGCCCTGGGCCCAGGGGCTTGGGTCCTAGGCCAGGATTATCTCTGAGCATTTCTGCCAGTGAGGGGGGCCACTAGGGACAAGGCCCCCTGGGAGGCACAGCCTCCCCACACCTCCTCCTGAGGGTCTTCCAGATACCTTCTTTCCAATCCCCTTCTCCCCCCACCCCTGCCCCTAATCTCTCCCCATCAGGAGAGATTTAATGTCTTCAGGAGCAGGGCCTTGGTCTCTGAGGGGAGTAGGCACAGGTATGTAGGCCTGACTAGGATACCCCTCCCTTCAGAGTGGCACCAGCAAGTCTGGATACAATAGCCTCCCACTCGGCCCTTAGGAGAAGAGGCAACCTAGATCTAGCCCAGGAAGTGCCTGCCCCCTCCCTGCCAGGCCCCTGGCCCACTGGGCTCCTTGGCCTGCTTGCCTGCCCTGGGCATCCTCAGCCTGGGCAGGAGCCGAAGGGAGTTGACCATTGCTGGGAGTGCAGCAGGGCTCAGCCAGGACAGAAGTGGAAGGGGCACCGCTGGCCCCTCCATCAGCATATGTGCCCTCGACCCCCTCCCTGGACCCAGCCCTGGGTCTGTGGCTCAGGAACTCCCAGTTGGGATGTGGGGTCCCTGCTGGTCCCTCACAGTCGCCTCAGTTGAGGACGGCCCCACAGCCCTGCTCACTTTACCTGCCCGTAGGCCGCCTGCACCTGTGCCTCGAGTTCCCGCAGGAGTGCCCGTCGCCTGGTGACTGCAGGGCTGGCAGGGGCCTGGCTGGTTCCTGGAGTGCTCTCAGAGGAGCTAGGGTCCCCTGAGGGGAGGCTGCCATCTGCCGGGCCCTGGGGCAGGGCCATGGAGTCGAGGTCCCCCTCCAGCCTCCTGGCCCTGTGGAAAGATGGCTTTGTGGGAAGCCCCGGTGACCACTACTCTTCTCCCTGTCCTTTCCTCCATGGCCGGCAGGGCCTCTTATTTTTCCTAGCTCCCAGCTGCCCCTGACCCAGCTCTACCAGCCTGGCAAAGTTCCTCCCTGAAATCTTTGCCTTCTCCCAGCTGCCACCCCCAGCCTTCCTGCTGGCCACAGACTGTGCCTCAGGGCTCCGCTGGCCTCCCTGCAGACCCCACCCGCAGCTTTGACCTCCTCCAGCCCTAGTGTTATGCCTCATTTTCCCACTCACTGTTTAGCTGCATATCCTGCGGCTCTGTTTCTGTCTCCCTGCCCCCTCTGCCTGGTCTGCTCCTGGGTGTCTCTGTGTCAGTGTCACCTGCACTTCTTGTCCTCATTCCTCCACTCCGGCTGCCAACTATATCTGTCTCTCTCCAGTAGTATCTCTGTTTGTCTCTGACCCACTCATACCCCTCTATCTGTTCTCTCTCCCTCTGTTGCTTTTTCTATTGTTCCCATTACCCACCCAACCTCTTCGCCCCCCCCCCCCCCCCTCCTGCCAGGCCCTTGCACCTGGTCCTTCTGGCCTTCAACCTCCTGCTTTTCTCAGAAGAAGTGGGGACATGGCCAGGGAGCCCCTCCCCTGCCCCCCACGCCCCCTTGCATGCCCCCAGCCTGCTCACCACTAGCTGCCTGCTCCTTGGCTCCTAGAATGAGGTCAGTTGTCCTGTCCTGGCCCACTCCAGGCCCCTCATGATTTATTCACTTACCCCCCGCCAGCCTTTGTCAGAGGGAACCAGATCCAGCCAGGCACCTGCCACCTGAGCTGGTGGTTCTGGCCTCCTGGCCACGCATAACCATCGTTCATGTATTTCCTTGGCAAACATCTGAGGCTAGCTAGGACCTGGCCCTGGGCCAGTTGTTGGGGCCACATGACAGACCCCTTCTGCTCTGAGGACCTCTCACTCAGGCATGTCTATTTTGGAAAGAAGCCATCAGGTGGTCTCCAAGTGCTTAGGGCACTGGCTCAGGCATTAGGGGTGGCTTTCAGGAGGAGACGAGGGGAAGGAGCAATACTCTAGGCATTTGCCCACCAATATTTAACCCATGCCTGGCCTTGGGGGAATGGTGGGGATATCTGGCAGGGATCAGCCACAAACTTGACTGTCCCAGGCACTGGAAACCACCAGATATGTTGGGTAGAGGCCCTCAAGAGGGAGAGAGGGTGTAGTTAGTAGTTTCTAGGGTATAAGTGACAGGAGGTCAAAGGACATTTTAGAGGAACCAAATCTTTAGCAAATGTTTACTGAGTCCCTGCTTTGTGCCTTCCTGGCTGCTGGGAAGCAGTTCCTGCCTCCTGAAACGTTCCACCTGATAGGAGAGCACCTTCAGCACACCAGAATTACAATGGCTAGGCAAGGGCAGAGAAGGGCTTTATGACAGGGAGACCTCCCTGTGATGAAGGGGCTGAGGAATTAATGTGTGGCCAAGACCAGAGGATGATGGGAGCTGTTGAGTAAGGGGAGAGGGATCTCCTCACAGGCAGAGGCAACAACTTCCACCCAGCAACTCAGAGGATGAGACAGGTTAGGATGAAGAGGTGAGAGGACACTGGCCAGGTGTTCAAGGATGGGAAGGGCTCATTGTGGTCATTCACATAGATGCAGCCTTGGCCTTCAGCCCCTCTGCTCCTGGAGACCAAGAATGCACTGTCCCCAGGCAGGGACAGCCCTGAGAATATTCCACAGAGATGGGACTTCTCTGTTTTCTGCAAGGTCATAGTAAGAACCTGCAAACATAGGCTCCCCATGCACTTGCCGTGTAACCCTGGGAAAGATATTCCACCTCTCTTTTATCTCTTTATCTGAAAAATGGGGACTGCTGTAGTACCTTCCTCTCTGTGCCAGTGTGAAAATTAAATGACCCGGCAGTTTCCTGGCACATAGGAAGGGCTCCAACAGCCGTGAGCGTGAGATGTGATGGATGATTCCATGACCAAGTAAACATCTAAGAAAGTGTGAAGTGGTGAGAAATGTGGGTGTCAAAGTGCAATCTGAAGCAGTAGGAGTGATAACTGGTCAGGTGTAGTAGGTAAGAGAGTTTTCAATCTGGGGCATAGGCTTTGAATCTAGAAGGGAGAGAAAGTCTAGCCTAGAAATCTCTCCTGCCTTGTGTTCAAACTGCAGCAGCCTGGAGCATTCACCTTGGTGCCCTCAATTTGTCCAGCATGGCTGAGCCAAGCTGGGGCCCCAGTTGCAATATCCAAGATAGGTGGATCAGTGATTTGACAGGTAGGTAGATGGATGGATGGTTGGGTAGATGCATAGATGAGTGAATGGAAGAATAGTTGGCTAGGTAAAAAGGGTGTTGATTAAGTGGTTGATTTGATGGAATAGTGTTCAAATTGTTAGCTGTTAGGAAGACAGATGATCAAATAGAGGGATGGATAGATGGACAGATGGATGGAAAGATGGACTGGTGGAAAGGTGGTTGGATGGATGGATAAGCAAATAGATAGTTGGGTGGGTAAATGAGAAGCTGAAGGTCAGAGAACATTTTAGAGGGGCTGAATCTTCAGCAAATGTTTATTAAACACCTGCTTGGTGCTTTTTCTGGGCGTGGAAATCACCTATCTCCTGGGATGGAAGGGATGGAAGGACAGGTGTGTAACTGACTGGATGGAAGGAAGATGAGATGAGCTGGTGATTCATGATTAATGAAGATGAAATGATTGGTAGAATGACTGGTAGATGAATGGATGATTACATAGGTAGATGACTGGATAGATGGTTGGATGGATGGATGGAGAGATGAAAAGATGGATGAAAAGAAGGATGACTAGGCATGGGTAAGTAGGTAGTTGGATGGATAAATGAGAAGGTGAATGTTTTGTTGGAGTAGTGGTTGAATGTTTTATCGCTGGACGAATGGATGGCTGGGTAGATGAGTTTATAGATGGACAGACAGAAAAATGGAAGTAGCTAGGTGGCTGGACTGCTGGCAAAGGTCTTAGTTTTGTGTTTTTGTTTGTTTGTTTGTTTGTTTGTTTGTTTGTTGCTCTAGGGCATGTGCACTTGCTGGAGAGAGAAAAAGAGAAAGAGAGAGAAAAGGAAAGTAAGAAATTACTCTCTGGGGGGATGGCCACGCTGCAGTCCTTTCTTGTCCATTCTCCTTTCAGGATTTTAGGCATGCATGAACACATACCTGACGTGATTTTCAAACCACCAGGTTCAAACTTGAACCATGGAGTAGGCTATGTAGGAATCTAGCCACCTTAACTTCCATGTCACCTGCTGACCTAAGATCTTATTTTTTTTTAAAAAGAATTATTTTATTTAACTTTATTATTATTATCATTGTTATTTTCCAGTTTGATCAGAGAGAGACAGAGAGAGAGAGAGAGAGAGAGGAAGTGAGAAAGCAAGCCACCAGTTCTGAGACTTGAACCATGGTCGGCCATGTGGGAGTCCAGCGCCCTCAACCACCATGCCACCTGCCAGCCCCAACCTAAGATCTTATATTCTAATATTTCATTAAAAGAGTCCAATCGGGTAAAAACCATTTCTTACCTATTGAGTGTCTCTGATGGTATCTCATACGTTCATTGCCTGATATGTAATAATTAATGTATAAATGCAGACTTCTATTTATAAATCTCCTACTTTGAACTGTGATTATCTAATGGCAAAGATGATAGTTTTTCCATGTTGCCCACAAGCTGAACTCAGAACTTGGCACTTGGTAAGCACCATACAGAAACATGTCGAAGTACCACTTTATACCCACTACGATACCTAAAGTAAAAGACAAGCAACAGTTGTTGGTGAGAAGGTGAAGCACTTAGAACCTTCACATATCTCTGGTGAATTAAAATAATAATAAATAAAATTTAAAAAAGAAAGAAATGAAATATTGATCCATCCCTTGAAAACATGCTCAGTAAAGATGCCAGGCACAAAAGGACAAATATTGTATGATTCCATTCATGTGACATGTCACACATTGCTAATGAGATTATAATATGGTGTAACCACTCTGAAAAAAAAATTTCACTGGGGGCCAACAGGTGGCATGGTGGTTGAGGCACTGAACTCCCACATGGTCGATTGTGGTTCAAGTCCTGGACCTGGCATCTTGCTTTCTCACTTTCCCTCACTCTCTTTCTCTCTCTGGTGAGCACCTGTGCCCTATAGCAAATTAAGTAATAATAATAATATTAAATAAATAATTTTCAGATTATTGGCAGTTCTTCAAAGTGAGTTACCATATGGCCCAGCAACTCCACTCCTAGAAATTTACCCAAGGGAGTTGAAAACATAACTTCACGCAAAAACTTCAACACACGTTTGTATAGCACTGCTTATAGTACCCCCAAAGTAAAACAACCCAGGAGCCAACAGGTGGCATGATGGTTAAGGTGCTGGACTCCCATGTGGCCATCACAGTGGCTTGAAAAAGACAAATACTATTTGAGTCCATTCATAGGACATGTCCAGAATAGGCAAATCCATAGAGACAGAAGTAGATTAGTGGTTGCTGGGGGCTGAGGGAGGAGATCGGCTAATGGGTAATGGGGTATGTGCGTGCCGTGTGTGTGTGTGTGTGTGTGTGTGTGTGTGTGTGGTGATAGGAATGTTCTGGAATTAGCGGTGATGATTGCACAACACCGGATATGCTGCACTTTACAAGGGTGAATTTTATGTAACAATAAAGCTTTTTGTATACATTATAAAAACCCACCAGGGTCAGCAGGTAGTGTGAAGATTACAGCAGCTGGATCCCATACAACCATGTACCTAAGCACTTATTAGGCTACCCAAGTAAAGAAGGAGTTCTGTTCTGGAGCCAGCAGATGGCATAGTGGTTATGTCACTGGACTCCCACATGGCCAACCATGGTTCGAGTCCCAGAGTTGGTGGCTTGAAAATCATGCCTGGCATATGTGTGTACATGCCCAAAATCCCAAGAGGAGAATGGAGAAGTGACTACAGCAAGGCCATCCCTCCCTGGGGAGGGGGCAGGTAATTTCTTGCTTTCCCTCTCTTTCTGTCTCTCTTTCTCAAGTGAGCACACAAGCCCTATGGCAAAAACAAACAAACAAAACACCCCCAAAGGCAGGTGCATATGGACTGGAGACTGGGAATGGACAGAGGGAGTTGCCTGCTGCAGAGACCTGGGATAGCTGTGCTTCTGGGACCCAGGGGAGGAGTCTTGAGGGTAGCCACAGACCAAAGGCTGGGCCTGTAGAGCCAGAGGACTGTGCGTGAAAGCAGCCATCTTGAACACCACAGTGCCACCCTGAGAAACAGCTTGCCCACGGCTGTGTTGCTTCTGTCCCAAGGGAAGGCATGCAGGTTCCAGGCCAGAACAGGTGAGCGAACCTCTCCGAGTCTTGGTATCTTCATCTGCATAATGGGAACAAGACTCCTTCCTTTCTACGGTTGTCATGGAGATGAAATGAGACCATTTATATGAAAGCTCTTTGTAAGCCGCTACATGCAGGACAGATGTTCCTCCAGCTGTGAGTCAGGGATGAGAACTCAGCTCTGGCCACCCAGCCCCAGGCAGCTGTGGGCTCAGATGAGGTGAAGGAGTGGAAAGGGCTCTCCATCCCTGAGTTTTTGCTGCAGGGGGGTGCCCCTGATTAGAGTGGTGGTTGGTTTCCCCCCCACACACTTAGATGAGTAGTTCTGCACCCAGGAAGGGCACCTTCTTCTTTTCTTGTGGCTCTGACAGAACCGTCACTGGGACCCTTCTAGGGGAGAAGGCAGCCAGGAGGAGAACTCGGCTGGGCTGCCAGGGAGGCTTGTAGGGGAGCAGACACCCATCTTGACCTGAAGGAGTCAGCCCTTACCAGGCCAGGAGGCCCTGCCCTGTGTGTTTTCCATCTATCTGTGTCCCCAGATCCAGCTCATATTTTACTTTGTCCAGAAGCTCTCTAAAAATCTTTATTTCTTTTAAATTCATGAAAAAGTGTGTGCATGCATGAAACAGAGAGAGAGAAGCACCCTCAAGAGGATCTCATCAAGCCACAATCTTTTCCCAGCCTTCCAGCTTATCAGGACCTGGTCACACATACACATGTCCAGTATGTATGGAGCCAATCAGAGATCCGAACCTGTGAATGACCGTATGACTTCTAGCACTGCAATTCAGTTTGTTATTGACTGTGCTAGTAGGCTGGGTCCCAGAGATGGTTTGGAGACTATCTATGGGAGGGAAAATATGTATTTTTTTCTCGACCTTGATGAGATTTTTTTTTTTTGAGAGGTTTTTCACTATAGGGCGCGTGCGCTCACCAGACAGACAGAGAGAGACAGAGAGACAGAAAGCGAGAAATCACCCCCCAGAGGGGATGGCCACACCACAATTCCTTCTCTTCCATTCTCCTCTCGGGATCTTGGGCACGCACGCACATGCGCCTGGCGTGGGTTTTAAGCCACCGAGTCCTGGACACAAACCACGGTCGACTACATGGGAGTCCAGCGACATAGCCATTACGCTAACTGCTGGTTCCCACCTTGATGAGATTTTTTAAAAGAGAGATTTTTACCGCAGGGCGCATGTGTTTGCTGGAGAGACCGAGAGACAGAAAGGAAGAAATCACCCCCTGGGGGGTGGCCACACCACATTCTCTTGGGATTTTTGGCACATATGCACATGTGCCTGGCCTGAATTTTAAGCTGCTGGGTCCGGGACTTGAACCACGGTCGGCTGCATGGTAGTTCAGTGACGTAACGATTACATCATCTGCTGGCCCCTCATGAGTTTCTTATTTGAGAAGAACTCCTGTTACAAAGACAAGAGGAAAACAATCACAAGAGCTAAATGTCAAGGAAAAGTAACTCCAGGTAGTGGCTTAGAACTCCACTTTCAGGGGACCAGCAGTTAGCATAATGGCTATGTCGCTGGACTCCCATGTAGTCGACCGTGGTTTGAGTCCCAGACCCAGTGGCTTAAACTAATGCCGGGAGTGTGTGCTTGCGTGTTCAAGAACCCAAGAGGAGAATGGAGGAGAAAGGATTGTGGTGTGGCCATCTCCCTTGAGGGGTGATTTCTTGCTTTCTGTCTCTCTGTCTCTCTCTGTCTTTCAAGAGAGTGCACGTGCCCTATAGCAAAAACCTCTCTAAGAAAACAAAGAAAGAACTCCACTTACATATAATGTCTTTAACAAAGAAAAACAAATGTATACTGAAATGATAGGACAAAGAAAGATTTTGGCTCTCAAGAGTGGAAAATTGTGGGACACTATAGTAAGGATGTAATGGAGTAAAGGCTATTGATCAATTCCTCTGATAAGTATCTAGAGTTGGTGGGCAAGCCAGTGGCATGGTAATTAAGGCAACTGGATCCCACATGTGGTTGAACCACCAACCATGTGGTTCAACTCTCAGAACTGATGGCATAAAAAATAAAATAAAATAAAACCAGTGGGGGACCAGCAGATGGCACAATGGCTATGTTGCTGGACTCCCACATAACCAACTGAGGTTCAAGTTCCAGATCTAATGGCTTAAAACTCACGCCGGGCCATGTGTGCATGCCCAAAATCCTGAAAGGAGAATGGCCATCCCCCATGAAAAGAAAAAAAAAAAGAAAGAAAGAAAAGAAAAAAGAAAGAAAGAAAAGAAAAAAGAAAGAAAGAAAAGAAAAAAGAAAGAAAGAAAAGAAAAAAGAAAGAAAGAAAAGAAAAAAGAAAGAAAGAAAAGAAAAAAGAAAGAAAGAAAAGAAAAAAGAAAGAAAGAAAAGAAAAAAGAAAGAAAGAAAAGAAAAAAGAAAGAAAGAAAAAGAAAAAGACATGACATGATGGGTATGTGTGGGTGCATGCCCAAACTCCTGAAAGGGAAAAGAAAAAAAAAAAAAAAAGAACTGTCTCCAGTAAAGGGGAATATTTATACTTGGCCTTTAGGCAGGAATGGGGAAGAGAGTTTCCTGCTTGCTGTCCATTGCATTCAGCTCAAAAATAATTTATATGTCAAGAGGCATATTTGGGGGCCAGCAGACGGCATAATGGCTGTGTCGCTAGACTCCCATGTAGTCGATTGTGGTTCAAGTCCTGGACTTGGTGGCTTAAACTCACGCCAGGTGCATGTGCATGCATGCCCAAGATCCCGAGAGGAGAATGAAGGAGAAGGGATTGTGGTATAGCCATCTCCCCGGGGGTGATTTCTCGCTTTCTGTTTCTCTCTTTGTCTTTCTGGCCAGCGCAAGTACCCTATAGCAAAAACCTCTCTCCTCCCACAAAAGCAAACAAACAAAAAAACAAAGAAGAAGCATGTTTTGAGGTGATATATTCTGGTTCCCTTTGACTATGACACCAGGAAAAGGAAAGAATGAAAGTTAAAGTGAGGCCCTTGGAGCCAGCCAGCCTGGCTCCACAGTTTACTTACCAGCTGTGTGACCTTGGGCCTATCACTTAAGCACTCTGTGCTTCAGTTCTTCTTATGTCCATAAGGGTTTGCTATTATCACACAGACAGGTTGTGTAATTGGGTATGTCTATTTACCGACATTGTATCATTCATGCACCAAACATTTGGGGCTCGGGAATGAACACGGGGCTCCATCCTGGCCCTATGAGGTTTGTTGGTGGGGAGGAAGTGTTAAAGTGATGCCAGTGTGGGTGCCTCTTTGCAAAGTCACTGCCCTGCAGGTAGAGTCCATCCAGGCCGACGGGCAGGTATGCCTGCCCGGCTCTGCCTCCACCACACCCATTGTCCCATGCCAAGCTCAGTGGTTGGTGCATGCTGGGGTGGAGGGAGGGAGGAGAGGGTGGAGCGGAACAGTAAATATAAGGCCTCGGATGCCTTTCCACTTCCTGCTGCACTTCCACCTCACGGCCTACCAGTAAGTAGGGTCTGGGCTGCGTGGGGGACAGGGCCCCCTCTGAGCTGCCCTCTGTCCTAGGGTGACCCCTGGCTTGGTCCAGGGCTCCTCCTTCACTGGCCCGTCTCTCCTAGTGCCACCTTACACCATCGTCTACTTCCCCGCCCGAGGTGAGGCCCAGCTTCTCCAGGAGGATGAAGGGCACAGACTGGGCCGGATCAGCCACCCAGGCTGCTTCTTGGACCAGGCCAGGGTCCAGATTGCAGGGGCAGAGCTATGACCTGCCTTCCCTTGGCTGCAGCTTCTTGGGGCCCCAGGCGACTGCAGTCTGTTACTATTCCCTCCCTGAGGCACGATGGGGTTGATGGGGCTATGGTCTCTGTCCTTTCTTTGCACTTTCATCCCTTCCCCAAATGGCCCCCTATCTGAGGTTTCTATCCTGTCTCATGCCCAGCCCCACCTTGCTACCCTCCACCCCAGAGAGGGGAAGAAGGGGGTCTCTGTCCAGTCCCACACCCCTGTCCTCACCCCCATCACCCAGGGCGCTGTGAGGCCATGCGCATGTTGCTGGCCGACCAGGGCCAGAGCTGGAAGGAGGAGGTGGTGACCAAGGAGTCCTGGCAGCAGGGCCAACTCAAGGCCTCCTGTGTGAGTGACCGGGCCTGGGCGTGGCACAGGAGCTGTAAATACGCTGGGGAGGCGGTGACTGAGCTCAGTGCCCCTCATAGAACCATGCCTCCCCAGTTGTACGGGCAGCTCCCCAAGTTCCAGGACGGAGACTTCACCCTGTACCAGTCCAATGCCATCCTGCGTCACCTGGGCCGTTCCCTCGGTGAGTCCTGAGCACAGCCCAGCCCAGCCCAGAAAGGACCCGACAAGTAGCTGGCAGGATGTCCTGGGCCTGAGCTGCTGTACGTGCAGCCACCAGAGTTCCCCCCAGCTGGACAGCAGGCCAAGTGCCCCTGGGAGGTTCTGGAAGGATCTAGGGTATGGGGTTGGCTGCCAGTCTCTACAGGCAGGGGCAGGGCAGCGCCGGGCTGGCCCCCTGCCAGGCAGCGACAGGCACCATTGCTGCACCCATTTGACTGCCCAGAAGGGGCCACCAACCCCCAAGTACACACTGGTGCAGGCCACAGGCCACAGGCCACTTCACATGGGGCCAGGGGCTTCCATATAGGCCTCCCTCCCCATTTCTCTTCACTCTGGCCACGCTCGAAGCTGGAAGACCCAGGTTCACAGTGCGCAGGTCTGTGGTCTTGTTTCAAGGGTGGCAGGAACATGGTTCAGGAAGATGGTGGGCTCCTCTTTGGTCGGCTTAGGCCCAGGGCATGGCAACAGAGAAGGGAGAGGGGCTGTGGGAGCAGGCAAGGCCCAGGCCCTCCAACTTCTGCAGCACCCAGGAGAGGGGACAGAGCCCTCGGCTGGAGCCTGCCACCTCAGCTTCCTGCCCTACACTGCCTTTGGTGTCTGTGGACACACAGGCACTCTCAGCTCAGTTCTGTTCAGGCCCCAATAACTACTCTTGGGCCTTGGGAGGCACACTCCAGTGGCTTGATCCCTCCTCCACGGGGACAGACCGGGGAGGCTTGGTGCCACTTGGGCAGGCAATCCCCGAGTGTCAGGGACAAGGTATGGCCAAAATATGAGTGGGCTTCTGCTGTGCTCGTGTGCATACCCCCTTGGGCCTGCAGACTCCTCATCCCTATAGGCAGGAGCAGCAAGGGCCGGCAAGGAAAGTCCTCCAAAGCGAGGGGCCAGAGAGGGGTCCAGGTGGCCTAGGCCTGGGGCCGGGGGCCTGAGCCCACTTCCTGGCTGCTGACCCAGGGCTCTACGGCAAGGACCAGCGGGAGGCGGCGCTGGTGGACATGGTGAATGACGGGGTGGAGGACCTCCGCAAGCGCTGTGGTCACCTCATCCACCACAACTATGTGAGTGGGGCCGTGTGCCGGCGTTTGGGAAGGTGCGGGGGCTGAGGCCGGCCTGGCCAGGCTTGCTGCATACCCCAGGCCGGATCACTCTGTTTGCAGGAGGAGGGCAAGGTCCAGTACATTCAGGAGCTCCCCAAGCACTTGCAGCCTTTTGAGATCCTTCTGGCCCAGAACCAAGGGGGCCAGGCCTTCATGGTGGGTGACCAGGTGAGTGCTGGGTCTAACTCCTCTTAGCCCTTTGTAGGTCCCCTTCTCAGGAGGGCAAACTGAGGCCCGGAGAGGGTCGGTTCATGGGAGCAGAGGTAGAGCCAGGAGCAGCCAGTGTGGGCTCCCTAAGCCTCTCTTCCTCCTGCCATACCCCTGCCCTGCAGATCTCCTTCGCGGATTACAACCTACTGGACTTGCTGCTGGCCCACCAGGTGCTGGTGCCCGGCTGTCTGGACACCTTCCCGCTGCTCTCAGCCTACGTGGCTCGCCTCAGCGCCCGGCCCAAGCTCAAGGCCTTCCTGGCCTCCCCCGAACATATGAACCGCCCTGTCTTTGGAGGCCGTAAGATCTGAGCTCACGCGCCCTAGCCCTGGGTGAGGGGCTGCCCTTGGGAACCAATAAAAAGAATGAGAGGGAAGTGTGCTGTGGTCACTGAGGGGCCGAGGGGACATTGGGGTCCTCTGGCCCATTCACAGGCTGCCTTGAGGAAGGGGAGGAGGACAAGACTGCTCCAGACCTCAAAGATCTGCTCTGGAGGACTTCCTGCAGGAGGAGTTCGGCTTCACAGGAGTATCATGACCAAAGCAACCCAAGAAGTAGTCTCAATCCAAGAAAAAGGATGGCCACACCCTAAGGGACAGTTGGTGCCAGTAGTGTCATGGATCAGTCCTCTGGCAGCACAGCATAGTCTCTGCACGCTCAAGACGGGTGCACACACATTCCCCTGGAGTGACAGCACACACTCGTTTCACAGGCATGGTGACATTGCCTGTTCTCACTCGGTCACAGGCACTTGGCCACCCCCATCCTGTGTGGCAGGCGGCCAGCAGGCCAGCAGGGTCCAGGTGTGAGTGCTGAAGGCAGGCCTAGAGCCCTGGGTGGCCTCCCAGTGTCTGGAGATCGAGGGGATACAGTGTCAGCACAAGCGGCCCCCACTGCCTGCCCGGCCCCAGTCCTCTCCCCAGCTGCGTTGGTGTGGCTGCCTCTTGCCAGGTCCCTGAGCCTGCCTGCACCTCCTGCCAGCTGGACTCATGGGCAATCTGGGGTCAGCCGAGTGCAGAAGGCTGGCACAACCTGCTGCTCTCTGGGTGAAGCCTGCCCCCTGCTGGTCCTGCCCAGACCTCCCTATCCCTCTCTTCCGTGCACTGCTCTCCTCTCAGCACTCCCATTCCGCCCCCTTTCAGGTCACTTTCCCTGTCCCTCCTGCACTGGCCCAGGTGCCCTTGGGTACCCCCAACCATAGCTCCTCTTGGGTATGTGGCCTGATCATTAGAACCTACCTTCCTTCTCTGAGTCTCTGTCCATTTCAGTCTCCCTTGCTTCCAGAGGAGGCACCTGACTCCTCTGTCAGGAAAGGGGCGTGCTGACACCCGCAAACATTCCCTCTGTGGGGAGGCCACTAGGCCTGTTCTTGTGCTCCCCCTTCTTCCTCCCACTCTCTCATCCCTCCAGCTGGTGTTTCAGCACTAGCCTGGCTGAGGCTCACGGGCTCGATGCCCTCACTCCATGCTGGCCCCATGCTAGGGACTCAGACGATGATCTCTTCCAACCTCTTTTGGGTCAAAGCCAAAGCTCAGAGAGGTGAGGCAGCTTGTCCAAGACCACACTGCTTATCAATAGCAGAGTTGGAATTCAGACCCAGGTCTGAACAACGCCTAGGCCTTTTCACAGGTGGTTCTCAGAAAGGGAGGCCTGAGATCAGAGCTGGAATTTGCACCCAGGAAGGCTGACTATCAAGCCTACATTCTTTCCTGCTTGCTTCAGAAAATTCTCACGATGTGTTCTGGACAAATGAAGTGGCCAGTGAAGTGACTATTTGAAATGTTGATGTTGGTTAGATGTTAAATGTCTCAAGTGAAATCAGGTTGAAGCCACAGGAATGTTAGAAGTAAAAGTGCAGGTCACACCCGACCTCTGGCCCACTTGACCCTGCTTCTGTGGCCTGAAAAGCTGAAAACCAGCGTGGCAAACGAGCTGTGCTGGGGGCAAGCGCCTGCAGCCCCTTTCACGGCCTCTGCAGAGAGGTTTGATTCCCAAGAATGGCTGAGTGTTTTGTGGGAGCTGTTTTGGCAAGAAGTCACACTTGAGCTCCAAACCTGCCTGTTGTTAGACTTTGCACAGGATGAGGGAAAACCCTTCGCATTGCCAGACAGGATTTTCAGGAAACCTGCCCTGGATCCTGCAGGTACGAGGTTCGTTTGCTTCCCCTTAAACTTACTGTTGTGTGCTCAAGAGAGAGAGAGACAGACAGACAGACAGAGAGATAGAGAGGGGAAGTGAGCAATCACCTCCTGGGCGAGGGGTGGGGTGGGGAGATAGCCATGCTGCAGTCCTTTCTCCTCCATTCTTCTCTTGGGATTTTGGGCACACACACACATGCCCAGTGTGTTTTCAAGCTGCCAGGTCTGAGACTCAAACCGTGAAGTCAGCCGTGCGGGGTCCAGCTGCCCAACTACCATGCCACCTGCTGGCCCTGAGCCTTTTATTTATTTATTTATTTATGTATTTTTGAAAGAGAGATTTTTGCTACAGGATACATGTGTTCGCCGGAGAGACAGAAAGTGAGAAATCACCCCCAGGTGGACGGTTACACCGCAATCCCTTCTCTTCCATTCTCCTCTCAGAATCTTGGGCATCCAGGCACACATGTCAGGCATCGAGTTTCAAGCCTCTGGGTCGGGGACTTGAACTGTGGTCAACTATGTGGGAGTCCAGCAATGTAACCATTCTGCTGGTCCTGAGCCTTGTTCTTAAGAGCAGTACCTAGGGAAGAAATAAAATGAAGACATTTTGCTCACTTATCTGCTGTGTCTGCGACTAGATTCTGTTAAAATCGTGGCCACAGGGCAAGTGGTGGGGCAGCTGGACTCACATAGAAGAGGTCCTGAGTTTGCCTCCCAGGACCTCCCTGAGAATACGGGGCCTGTGCATGCATGCCCATGATCTGGGCCAGCTGATACTGGGGGTGGATCATGCATGGGGGCCTCACTATCAGATAAATAAACATTTTAAAATAATTATTTTATTTAATGTTATTTATTATTATTATTTTAAAAAATTTGCTACAGGACACATGTGATCACCAGAGAGAGACACAGAGAGAGAGAGAGAGAGAAAGTGAGCAAGCAAGTCATGATTCAGGTGGAACTTGAAGCGCCTTTGGCTATGTGTGAGTCCAGCACCTTAACCACCACACCATCTGTTGGCCCCAATAAATAAACTTTTTTTTAAAAGTATGTCTACACTGAGAAGGTAGTGGCCTCTCAGAAGCGCAGGCTCAGTATATTTAGGCCTTGAAGTAGACCTACCAGCTAGGCCACTCCCATGGAGTCGCCGTTTTGGGAGTTTGCTGCAGTTGCTTTTTCCTGCTATTCCAAAAATAGGACAACTGTGACCTTTGGCTCATAAATCCAGCCAAGACAACAGTTGCGCCCACAACTGGGATGGCCGCCAGCTCTGACCTGGAAATGTCTGCGTACATCTCTTCCTGTGCCCCCACCAGTCCCAGCAACCCTCTGCTGATACCAAGCCCTGCCCTCAGGACAGGGTCTGGAATTGACATATGGCCTGAGCCCAGCCAGTCACTGAGCCTGAGTCACAGGGATTGATCCAAGGGGAGAGTGTATGAGTAGATCTGGGCCTTTCCAGGCCTTCTCTGACCCACACTGCACACAGCTGGCCAGGCACCAGGAGCTCCCTTTTGAGGCTGGAGCTTCCATTCTGGTCCAGAGGCTGTGAGGACAGAATTTCAGAGCAGACTGTGGAGTTAGCTATAGTCGAGAGAGTGGAGCTCATGCACAGAGGAGAGCTGGTGTGTGTGGGTGGGTGAAAGAGAGAGGGAATGGGAAGGCTGATTTTAGGTCTCCGGTTCCAGTGTGTCAGAGGTCAGCTCTACTCCGTCCTTTGCCTGGTTGGGTCATGTGAGCTCATAAATGCCTCCCGTCCTTTTGGAGTTGAGTTTTTATACCTTCGTCTGAATGAAACTAAACTAGGAGAGATTCAAAATATATCCACACATTATTTCATTATTTCCCCCTCAAAATTTGGAACCTAATTCCCTACGCCTCCAGTGAGGGCTGGATTTAACGACTCATACACTTTAGGGAAACTTAGGCAGCTGTGTGGAGAGGTCCAGGCGATGAGGAGCTGAGTCCTCTTGCCCACAGCCAGCCTGACTCCCCATCCACACGAGGGCAGCCTGGTAGACATGGAGCCTCCAGACCCAGACAAGCCTTTGGATGAGACCGCAGCCCTGACATCCTGACCACAACCTTCTGAGAGACCTCAGCAAGAACTACCCAGGAAGGACCAGCAGGTGGCATGGTGGTTGGGGTGCTGGAATCCCACATGGCCCACCACAGTTCGAGTCTCAGACGTGGTGGCTTGCTTTCTCTTTCTCTGGTGAGTGCGTGTGCTCTGTAGCAAATTAAAATAATAATAATAATAATGATAAGTATAGTTGTATGATTTTTTTTTATGCTTAGCAATCTATTTAATTGTTCAAACTGTGATAGATAATACATATTTTGGAATATATATTTCCATTAGTTACAACATAAATGATTTCCAGTGGGAATTTCTTATACTAAACTGACCAAAAATAATTTTATCAAAAAAGAAAAATATCCATCTTCTGCTGTCAAATCTGTGCTATGTCAAAACATAGTTTTAAATTATGTATTTAGTTATATCCCTTTAAGCTAAATTATTATTTTATTATTTATTTACTTTGGAGAGGTTTTTGCTATAGGACGTGTGTGCTCGCCAGAAAGGCAAAGAGAGACAAAGAAACAGAAAGCGAGAAATCACTCCCAGAGGGATGGCCACGCTGCAATCCCTTCTCCTCCATTCTCCTCTCGGGATCTTGGTACGCACGCACACGTGCCCAGCGTGAGTTTAAGTCACCAGGTCCGGGACTTGAACCACGGTCAACTTCATGGGAGTCCAGTGACATAGCCATTACACCAGCTGCTGGTCCTACTACTGGTTTTTGTTTGTTTGTTTTTTTAAGAGCGATATTTTGCTATAGGGCGCATGTGCTCTCTGGAGATAGAGACAGACAGACAGAAAGTGAGAAATCACCCCCCCTTCTCCTCCATTCTCCTCTTGGGATCTTGGGCACGCACGCACACGCGCCCAGCGTGAGTTTTAAGCCACCAGGTCCGGGACATGAACCGCGGTCGACTACGTGGGAGTCCAGCGACATAGCCATTACACTAACTGCTGGTTCCCCTACTAAATTATTTTTATAAGTGGTTCCAAAACATGTTTTTCAATTATTATCTTTCTAATGAAGACCTATAAATGATCTACGTTTACAAATATATTTTGTCTACACAGTGAAACTTTTAAAAAGGGAATAGTATAGAATATGCAAAAGCTCTGGCTCTCCAAGGCAAAGCCAAAACATTT